TTGTCCAAAAGCCCTTCCTCCTCATAAGATCTAAGTGCCACCCTTGGACGCCCAACGCGTCATTTCCCAATCGTATTCCACTCTAGAGCTTGCCTGGAGCGCGATGTCACCCGACGGTCTCCTCAACATGGAGATGGATCACATTTCCATTTCCTTCGGCATATTTGTTGAGCAATAGACTTTTGGTTGGTTTCTCCTCAGAGTTTCTTATGGTTAACTCTTCCTGACCATCTGATCGTCAATATGCGGAGAAACCACCTGTTGATAAAAGTCTGAAGCCTGCTGGTAATGCTTGTAACGATTCGCTGACCTATGTAGAAGCAGTGACTTATCATTGGTAGTGAAAATCCGAATATTGTTCTTTATTCTGAGTGCAGAAAATTTTGCTCACTGATTTCAAAGTGATGAAAGTGTCTACTTTGCCTTTCCAATTCTGGTTCGAACATCTTCATCCATTCTGCTAGCTGTAATTGAAACGACGCTGTCTAGATAAGTGAAGGAAGCAGCCTCTCTCAAATTTCTTCTCCCGTCGCTATTGATCGGTGCTTATTGTTATTGATTGGTTATCTCCATCACCTGCGTCTTTTCTATCACTGCCTGCCTTCAACACAGAACTTTCTACAGATGTGCAGCAGTTCAAGTTCCACACTAAAAGTCACACAAAGTACGAAAGAAGAGAGAGAAGTGTGGGGGCAAAAAGAATAGGATATGGAAGAACAATATAGTTTATTAGATATGATAAGTCACAAGGAGTGGATGTATCTGAGCCTGCCATTGAGAACGATTTTCAGCCGTATCACCAATTATCTCCAGTCTTCATTGGTTCCTTCTTACCATCCTGACGACCCCAAATAGGAGACAAGTATACACATGCCTTGGTTTGACTACCCACTAGGTTTTTTCCAACCTGATTTATCTTATGTCAGCTAACATTGTCCATCGAGGAAGGCGATGGCTAGACATGCATGTGTAGCACATGTCCTAACCATCTGAATAGATGTAACTTCATAGCTCCGTTATTTGATTTCCCCCTCCTTACCTAGCACTTGACCGAAGCCTAACCTCAGTACTGCTCACCTTATCACGCCTACCACCTAATAGGGGAGATAGAATGCAGGCACCTATGATCAAAGACAACTAGCTAGCCAGCATTACCACGTCTTCCGCTTTCAATGGCCTTGTCTCACCAATAGCCAGTCATAGAGGAGGACGGAGCGAACTGCTTCGCTGAGCAGTACACAGGTCTTCTGGTTGACAGCCAGTCGGTTATCACGCCTACTCAGCCACATATGGCGTAAGCGTGTGGCATATGCTACACGAGCCTCCTGTATCCGTGTTGAGATTTCGTCAGCGATCAGTCCGTTGTGGCTGATGCGACTTCCCACAAAATAAATGAAGTGGTCAACACGCTCTACCACTTCATTCACTCCTTATCTTTAAGCAAAGAGTCAATGGATCCCAGACCTGCAGCATTACCTTGCATTTGACAGGAGCGAATTGCATGCCAAATATTCGAAGATCTCTGCTCAAGTTAATCAGAAGACTGAATTTTGTCAGCGTCTTCGCGTAGAACGACTATATCATCTACATATTCTCAGTCAATGAGATTATACCCTGGTAACAAATCAATCCCTGAGTCGCCGAAGTCTGTTAAGTATAAGTCCATTAGTATGTCTATGATAAAATTAGAAGGAATGGAGACAGTAGGCAGTAACCCTGACGGACACCACTGGTTGTCATCTCATCTGGCTGTATGAGTGCAAGCAGAGTACCTCGCCATTCCCATCACCATATTACGTCTCGGTCGACGGAATCGAATCCCGCCTTCAGGTCAGGAAATATGACAATTGTTGGACGGCGGTAAGTATACCTCTGTTCCAGAATCTCTCGAAGTGTAAAGATACGATCAATACACCCTCTTCCAGGTCTAAAGCCTGCCTGGTTCTCTCCTGTTTAATCCTCTCGCGCACCACTTAGTCTACTCCTGATTATTGAGCCTATTTATTTGAACGTAGAAAAAAACTTGGTACAATATAGCACCAAGATGCGCCATACAATAATACTAAAACAAATTAGATCAAAAGTAAAAAAAATATGAGTAAGGAACGGATAAAGAACTTCAACTCGAGGGGAAACAGTAATGCTTAACAAGTTCAAACAGTATTCGTTAACTATCATCACGAAGGGAAGAAAGAAGGGAATTGCAACAAGTTCGGTATGGATTACGATTCTTGGACATATCTGATAACGTTTCGAGCTATCACTCAGACCCCAACCAGGGAGTCGTGACGCACCAACCGATGCAAATCTAGCACAAACAACCTTCGTCTCACCATCGAACGCAAGCAATCCTGCGGAGACAGCGATGATCGAACACACAGAGTCGCGCACATCCTCAGCCTACTCGGAGAGGCCAGATTTCACAGACGTAGACCAAGACAGCCAGCACCGAAGCATTGTATACCCGACATTCGACAGCCAGGCTAACGTCGCGACGGCGCCAGAGGCTGATCAAGTTGATATATGCCACCCTAGCCTTCATAACACGGCTACGATTCTCGTCCAACACAGCTCCGCCAGCTATCACACATCTACCCAGATACACAAACATATCAACAACTTCAAGCGGTTCACCCGCAAGAGTGAGTGCAGGTACAGGCTCCTGTCAATCTTGTAACAGTAATTTGCACTTAGACGGCGCAAAGTACATACCATACCTACAGACACTGACCGCCAACTGATTAAGTGCAATATGGGCAGCCTGTATGCTATCGCACAGTAAGACGATATCGTCTGCATACTCGAGGTTAAAAAGTCTATCTCCAGGTAGCAGATCTACACCACCTTCACGCGCATCCTTCAGAGCTTAGAAATTTAGATACCGTATTGGTCAAACTAATCCCCATGTGATTATCACAGGAAGACTTGTCTCTCTTCTTGTATATCGGGATAATCAATCAATGACTTACACCAACTCAACGGGACAGTGTTTACTAGAAGTCTTGTCTTCGCTGACTGCTTCTTCTATCAACTTCTCGGATATACATGTGAACTTTAATAAAATCACAGATATCAGTATTTGAACTCAGACATTCATCACAAACAGCCAAACGACTATACATCTTTACTGAATGTACTATCCGTTTATTTTCTTTGAAGTTGGTCAATCAGTATCAGAAAGAGAAATCATATTTTACAAGTCTTTTTTCATTCCTTCGCGTCCTGGTAGTGTTCTCTTTTCTTGTGGTATGGGGTTCCTAGCCTCACACGTAATATTCCCTCCTTCCCGGGTTGACTATCTATCAGCTAGTAAACTAAGTGAGGTTCAGGAGTATGCCAGTCAGGAATCGAACCCTGGACCAACCACGTGAGTGTTTTGTGAGCATTCACAAATTTCACACAAATTCTAATTAAAATGAAGTAGTGAGATAGAAAAAGATGACGTTAGCGATGCAGTCAACCTTCCCAAACATCGAATTCCCTACTTGTTGGTGTTGTCATGAACTTTGCTTTAAATTAGCTTCACAGTTCAGATTGCTTCACGTAGAATTAATGAATCTACCGTCAATTTCAAGCTGGCATTTATTTCATGAACCACATAACTGGAAGTTGGTCAAAAATCATTCTAGCTTTCTATCAATGACAGTAATATCAGTGTCATGAAAATGTACAAAACGATTCAAGGGCGAGCGTAGCATTATCAGAGGATCGCTTAGTATAAATCGTCATCCAGATAACTTCATTGAGAAATATATGAATTTAGCACCATAACAAGCCAGTAGGAGCAAACCTCCAAAAAAGCCATTCTCGTTCAACTGTAGTTAGTTTCCCAATGATAAATTCAGAGAAATACTAACACAATGCCTGAAGAATGAAGTTCAAAGATTTTCCAGTGCAGCAGTCGTACGTTGTCTCTTCACTACTGCTCCGATTTTACGTTCGAGAAACAAGGACAAGCTACCTAATTTCGCCTCTATCGAATTGACTGCAATCGCAAAGCCAGTTACACGGGGCGTACAATTATGCGGGTTCATCATCGTATTTCCGAACATCATCCGGCATGGTTAAGCAAGGCACAAATAACATCCATTCGTAACTCTGTCTTAACACCACTAGTGGACATTGAGCATAAAGTTGGTGTGAGTACAGCATTCACAGATATTTATCGCATTCCAACTGGTCTTAGTTTTTGCTTGACATATTCATCTTTTAAATACCACTGAAGCTATCGGAATCCACCTGAAGAAGCCACATCTGTGTTCACAAGAAATCCGTACAGCCACTTCCCTTATATTCGCCATCCTTGGATGAATGTTAACTAACTAACTATTTCGCCCTCCTCATAAGGCTAGTGATAAAATTTTGACTCCGCTTTTGATCGGCTATTAAGTAATCTGCATGCACACCTGTCCATTAGAAAAAAATTACTCGTTTTCCTAAAATTATGCGTCTTGCAAGGCGCTTGTTGTAACCATTTCTACTGTCTTGGTCAGCATTAATTTTACTGGTTGATTACCGCTCCCTTATTATCCTGACATTCACCAATTCCTGTTAACAAATATATCGCTACTGCTGCATTGATGAAGTTGCTTTCTCCATTCTGTTGAAAGAGTACAGTCAGAGATGAGGATCGAATTGAGAAATATTTCTTCGCTCAATCCTATCATACTAACAAGACATTCTTAGCTACACAAAAATTGGAGGTGAGAGATCTGGAAGACGATGGTGTGTGTTCAGGATAACAAAGAAAATCTCATTGTCAGTCAAGTCACAGGAAGCAACATCACCAGTGACTAACGTCTGCTTTCCGATAACTTTTGTCAACTTGTTTGATCGAGCCAATTCACTACGTTTCGTCTATGTCACACCATCCAACTGACGATGATCACAAAACTGTCGAATGTCTCTAGGACTGACTCCCAAGCAAATGATGTATGTAGGTGACGTGTATGCGACAACCACCTCCACAAACCTATTGACACGTTTAATTCGTCAAAATACACAAACTCATGTATCCATCCAGTTACAAGTGGTTGAGTATGCTGTTCGTGTGATATTCTAAGAAGGATAAAATTAGCACAGCTGAATGGAAATTTCCCAGTTGCTTCACTAATCTAATCCCTACGTCAATATGATGTGACAAACGCCATTTTCAAAATCATCAAACTCACATTTCACAACATTTATTACACAGCCTTTGTTCACAAAAAGGCAACTGGATGATACATGAAAATGAGATAAATTTCGAGAGCAAACTCCAATGCCCGAGACAGTCAGTCCAAGGACAACTAACTGTCTTCAATGCTGCAGTACATTGACGCTTCAAAGTGACCAAAAGCGCAATTAACAAAAAAATGATCATGGTTAGCCGACAGTGGATAACTATTACAATTTATCTGCTAAGTCTGTTCGTCATCCTAGTTCATCTAGCAGCAGTATATATCAGTGTCAACAATGATATAGGTGTCTCAGAATACTGTCGTCAAGTACACACACACACACACATTGTTAAAAATACTCAAGACGCCTTGTCTTAAATCAATCTGTTTTCCGCTCAACAAAACTTATGTACAGTACATGATAACAAAGACAAGGAGTAAATCAATCAACTGAAACCATCTGCAGACGTATCCAGAAAAATACTCAAACGTCTAATAAACCTGAAATACTGTGAACACACACACACACAAATGACGGACATATTAATGGACGAAAGAGTACAACTTATGAGTAATCAAAAAAAGAAGAGAATATTAAAAGAATCCAACAGTGGTGATGATGATGACAAGAGTCGGAAATAGAGTAGAGTTCAACTAACCAAGCAATGAGTTAGTGAGTGACAATTCACAATAAAAGCACTGCTTTCAAAATAACTAAAATGCAATAATCATATATGATCCCATCAAATAATTAATTATTGTTAGACGGTGGACGACTGTTGGAATTCCCCGCTCCACATACACCACCACCACCTGAATTCTCTGTACCACTCGCTGCTCCCACCACAGACTGTTCAGGCTTATTCGCCATTTGAGGCGTAGTATAGCTTGAACCAACATTACACTGAGGAGATTGGTGTGGATGTTGTGGCGGCTGCTGTTGTTGTTGTTGTTGCTGTTGCGGGTGTTGTGGTTGTTGTGGTGGTGGGTAACTCGGGATCTGAGGTGGACCGGGATTAGGGTAACATGACCACGGATTTCCACCAGGCTGATGTGGAGGAGGAGCAGGAGCAGGAGCGTAGTGATGTTGGGGTGGCACTGAATAAAATCCATTCGGTCCACCATGAGGGTAAGGCGGGACAGGTCCACCTACAAAAATAAATCAGACACCTTGTCAATAGAAATGTGACAAAATGAACAATGCAACACACCACATTCACTTCTCCATCTAATGCATTTCTTGTGAATATGCGTAAGCACACAACCCAACTTTGTCAGTTAACAAACTTCAACTATCGACATTTGATGGAGAACTAAACTACTACTTATCCATACTCAATGAAGTAGTGAAACTTCAAAGGTAACCAACCACCAACATAAACTGTGAAATTATCATGACTTCCGCGATATACTAATCACAATAATAATAATAACTAATACTAATAATAATCCGAAAAACGAATCCTTAAGCGATAGTAATAAAACGATTTCATTTACAATAGATATATATCTACAAAAGGTGAACAGTGTGAGATGATCAAGACGAAACCCAACCAATGTGAGATAGAAAAGCGCAAAAGCGTAAAATACTTCCAACATACATGATGTGAAGAGGATTTACCAACAAAAATGATCCATTCTCAGCCTAAAGGGAAAGCCACCAGCAATCATCTCTCACAGTGACTACACAAAATAATACAACCAGAAGCAGAGTTCTCAAGTGCACACAAGTGCATAACTGTTACCTTACCTTACAATTATACCCTCACGTTACTCAGGAAATAAAACTCATCTTACTCATGCATATTGTGATCTACATTCGCCTTAATAATGTGAAGCATATATATGCATCCTACTCAAGTCAGTGCTTCACTGATTCAGAATAAACTGACACCTACTCAAATCGACTTCCGTTAGTTGACCAACACTGATGCAGTGAGT